AGGTGGGTCAGCACGTTCGCCGCGTTGTTCGTTCCGTACTGGGCCGTCGGCAAACACGCAACGACGACATTGTGGCGCTGAATGTTGCCGAGCGTGTAGGTGTTGGTGTCGTTCGTATGCCTGGGCAGGTCTTGGTGGACGTCGTCTAGCATGGCGCGGGCTGCGGCCATCTCTATGGGTAGCGCACAGATCCAGGCGATTGTATACTGGTCGTGCGAAGCATGTGACCCACTTCTTAGGTCGTCGTCTGGGGTTACCTGCCCGTTTTGACGGGGAAAGGCCATCATCTCGGTGTGGTTTTGGCGTCAAAAGCCGTCTCCGCCCACCAACCCGAAGTGTCCACCTGGTTGTATACTACAGATGCTTCTTTCTCGATGCGTAATTGTTGGTCGAGATGGGTGTCGCGGGATGGGAGATTCAGAACATTGTTGAGAGGAAAGGAAGGGACGCTCTTGGACGTCGACGGAAATGAGGGGAAAACTCGACGCACGCATAAGGCTGCTACAGACGGTCCAGCAGTCGACCTCGTGCAGGCACTGCCACCACCTGTTGCCGCCACAACACCCTTGGACAGCCTCACGAGTGGAGTCTCATCGAAACCCAGGTCACGTTTTTGTGCTGGCGCGCTCCATGCAGAAACCCACCAGCGTGAGTGTGGTGGCTCCGCTGTTAGTCAAAAACACAGTGTGATTACCCCAGCGGTGGCCGATCCTTCCCACTCCCTGCAACAAGCCTAGCACCAGGGACAGACAAGCGTCCGACTGTTCTCACGGTCCAACCGCGCCAACGGTCGGAGTACGATCCGACAAGACCATTACGTAGGTACCCTATAGCTACCTAGACACCTATGATATGTGCTTGGCCCACAAGCAATTCATCTAGATGCTTTCAAATCACTTCCTGATTGTTAGAATACAAAGTACTCATGAAAGAAGCCTCACTCAACGTGTTGTTTCGGCTGGCCAGCCAGTAGTGTAAAGGGGAAATGCCCATGCTCCTAACTGCGATGATATCGCGTAACCTGCTGTCGAGGCCACCGGCTGATAACAGTAACAAGTGAATACATGAAACAAAGCAAGTGACGTTACGCAGTGGCATCCAATTTACATTTTTGGGGCTCAGAAATCTTTGCTCTCTACCCCTCCACCAGTGGTGCAACATGTGGCACAATCTTGAGAGAATCCACACACACACCAGGCTGAGAATGGGTTGTTGGTCGTGGACATGCTTTAGAGCCAACACAACTGTTGGCTCGCCTCTACAAAAAGGGCCTTTTCATCCCTTCCTCAGATTCGTTTTCCTAGTTTTGTTCTTTTTCCCCCATTATTGCTGAGCTTACTAGGCCTACAGGCTCACTATCCCGATCCCCATCCTGTACGTTGTAAGTATGTGTTACTATCACCAAATCCTCTGGGAATGTGGTTATTGGCGATGGGGTCGTTTCGGTGAGCAGTGCAACAGGGAATACCGCATAGGCCAGGTTTGTGGCCTCATGCTGGTCTATGAGACCGAAAAACAGCCTACAATTTGTGCAGTGTGTTGCCACATACGGAGAAAGCTTCGCCGTTACGACAAGATGTGGCAGGACGTTCACCGCTGGCAGCATGAGGGGGGCAAACCTGCCACCGTTGAGCGAACCTGCGAAGAAATGCGCGCGATACTTAAGGAGATCCAAGGGCTCAAAAAGAATCACGACGCCCGCTGCCGGCCGTTGTTTCTTGGAGTATGCTCGTTCCTTCTCCTTCTCTTTCCGTTTTCGCTCTGTGTTTTCATTCAGTGGCTAATTTCATATACGTTATTAGCGTAACACCGAGCCAGTGTATAAGAGATAGTCGCATACTTATAGGACACACCGAGGAAGAAGAAAAGAAACCAACGTGCCTATAAAAGCAGAAACCTCAATGCTAGCTTCAATCATCCTGCCTACATTAGTCCTTATCTTCCCCCTCATCCTCATCCTTGTAGCCGCCAGTTTTCGGCTACGATCTCGGCACTTGGGCCTTGGCCGCCAGTAATAATATTGCCAGTAATGAGAGTGAAAGCGTAGGGCACCCATGGCCACCGACCACAATTAACAACGAATAACATGCAGCTGACCTCTTGAGTTGTTGCTTAACCAATCTTATCCGAGAATGTCTTGGCATTCTTGTTAGGCCATCGCCTAAATGCTGAGTCTATGTGGGCTTCTTCCGTTACATGATACCATTTTGAGTTGGTAGAGCTGCTCATACAGGAGGATATGTTCGTGGATGGAATACGACTGAGGGCCCTACACTAAGTGGTAGGTGAGAGTTTTAGTTCCTTTCTATTCTGCAGCGGCGAACCGCCGCTCACCAAACATAACTACGAAGACTGGCCAGCTCGGCGGATGCCCTTCCCAGATACCGGAATGGATGGTTCGCAGGGGATCGCCCCCCCCATCCCCACCCAAAATCAGTCATATTACTCACGGGACATGTCGGTGCTGCGAACCAGTCCATTCATGCAGGCATGATGACGATACTCCACCCGCCTAGTACCAAAGAGTTCGACATAAGGACCAACTGCATATTCACAACCAACACTCTACAACCAACATTAGCAATGGGAGGCTTTCGAATACCTGGCCATGCCCTCGCCGCTCTGTCCTCCCACGCTTTCGGCTTTCTATCGAGCGGGAGGAGAAAAAATCATTGGCCCTTTGTCCCCTCTGCGACACAAGGCTTAGCCGACTCAGCTTCCGCTCTGCTTCTGTGCCCTAAGCTTACCCAGCCAAAAACCGCCTCGTTTGATATTTGAACGAATACACTTGAAATTTATCAGCCCAAATCATGGCAGCGGAAGAGGGTGGTAGCGGACAAGTCCCGCCGCAACCCACCATCCGTCGAGTCTTTGGCATGATGAAGGCGTACTTGAACGAGTTTGAGAGGCAGACCCTCAACGGGTTCAAAACTCTGCAAGAGCAATACCAAGAGAAGGACGACGAGATGAGTCGCTCGATTTGTGATCTCATAGACTCGTTCGACGAAGATTCAAGTCCAGGGGAAAGACAAAGCATTGAAGAGAAATTACAATCTCTACTATCACAGCGATGGAGTCTTCGGGCTGAGCACGAGGCCAATCAGACAGAAGAGGAGGAATCGTGTGAGAAACGACAAATGGAGCTGCTGAGGCCGCTCCAGATAGCTCTTTTCCATTCTTTCCCTGCTGATAGTTGGGATGGGATGATGCTCCCCGGAGCGCAGAATGTTCGGGGAGGCACAGGGCTTGAGGAGCAGCGGCCTGATGAAGATATTCAACACACTGCTCAAGAGACACAAAAGGAGTTTGAGGCAGTTAATAACGTCGCAGTTGACGGAGGTACATCATCTCAAGCTGAGGATGTTAACGGAGGAATTCACTATGAAGAAACTTGTGATAAAGTGCCGAGCCAAATCGGCCACAACGAAATGGCAGAGTCGAATGAGGCCCTCTCTGATGCTCTCTCCAGCAGCGGCATAAATGAAATTGATGGAGAGACTGCTCATCTCTCTTTAATGGAGGCTGAGGGCAGCGAAAGGAGCGCTATCGATATAGACTCCGAGTTTGAGCCTGAAGCCGACGATGCTTCCGAAGAGGTTGACGATCAATCTACCCTAAGTGCGACGGTAGACGAAGAATTTCTTGTCCTAGGGGTAAGATATCTGTCGTGTGTGAGAAGGACCATTCACATGCTAATACGCTGATAGAGAAAAAGAAAGCTCTCTTATGGGAGCCGTCTCCAACCACGAAAGAAGCCTTGCCGGTGGAAGAAGGCACCCACCAAAAACCAAAGCAAGGAGAGAACAATCCGCTATAGAGAGGTATATGATAATACTATTGCTGGACACAAGGAGACCATTGTTCAGTATCCTGCCAATAAGGGTCTATGGTATATAATTCGATGCGAGGAACACGGACTTAAATTTGGAGGTAGCAATCCACTCATGGATGCCGCATTTCACTTGGGCAGTCTCCAGCACGATAAATACTCAAAAGCCTATAAGGATGTTATCAATCAGATGGGCATACGAGTCAAGTACTGTACGGCGAGCCGTGCAGAGCAAAACAATAACACTTTCACGAAAGAAGCTGTTCAGAAGAACTCACCAACGTCGATGGATCGGACCACAGGTAGCAAAGACGAAGACAAAAGGGGCGGACAGGCTTTTGGAAGCCGAAAGGCAGCCTTGATGAGCGACAAAGCCGAAACATCTCGGAGTAGTCAGGACACAGAAGATGACGTCTACGACGACAGAGGGTCTAAAACGTCAAAATACGACGATACTAATGAAGGCAACGAAAGATTGTATGTACGTCGTCAACCTGGCGACATATGCCTCGTCTATCTTGGGGGAGAGTATATCCCAGTTCTCGTCCTTCCTTTTGACAATATGCTTGAAATTGGAATCAATGGCGACCTCAAGACGCTGAATCTGGTCCAGCTTATGCCTGACTGCTGTATCTATGACCTGACCACGGGAAAATACAGGTGGAAAAAGGGATATGAGGATGGTGGAGCGTTCGAATCGTCTCGAGCGCACCCTGGTCTATGCTTAACTCACAACACCCTGGAGACGTGTCCTCCAGTGTGGGTAAAAGGAACAAACCTGGGAAATTTTGATCTAATGGACCCTGTTATCATGAAGCAGGAGTATTACCAGCCATTATTGCGCCTCATACAGCAGGCTGATGTGAACAGATCAGCCATCTTGGCGAATGTTGTAACAGAGCCAGGCAGCCGACG